GAGCTGAAGGCAGTCGCTTAACCAACTGAGCCACCCAGGCGCCCTAAAATACCCTTAGTTCTAACCTAATAACTTGAGTCTCCAAGAAACCAAATTTTGGTAAAGGTTAAACTTCCAGGCCTCTTAACTCCCACACTTTATAACCTCGTTTTTATGGCTGTGTGTGTTGTTTGGTTTTGTGTTGATACTAAAATTTAGGTGAGATAAGAAACGGAGCAGGGAGGAACAAAGCTGGAGAGAAAGGATACTTTCAGAGAAATAGTAAATATTAAAAGCAAAAGCCAAACCCAAAATCTCTTCCATCTCATATGAGGCAGATTAGACTGGATTATAAAATTCATTCTTGAGGCGCCTGGGTGGCTCAGTTGTTAAGCATCTGCCTTTGGCTCAGGTCATGATCCCAGGGTCCTGGGATTGAGCCCTACGTCAGGTTCCTTGCAGGAAGCCTGCTTTCCCTCGCCCACTCCCCCTGCTTATGTTCCTGTTCTCACTGTCTCTCTCTGTCAAATACATTAAATCTTTAAAAAAAAAATTCATTTTTGGGGCATGTGGATGGCTCAGTGGGTTAAAGCCTCTGCCTTCTGCTCATGTCATGATTCCAGGATCCTGGGATCGAGCCCCGAGTTGGGCTTTCTGCTCAGCAGGGAGCCTGCTTCCCCGTTTCTCTCTGCCTGCCTCTCTGCCTACTTGTGATCTCTGCCTGTCAAATAAATAAAATCTCAAAAAAATTTTTTTAATTCATTCTTTCATTTATCCACTTGACAAATTTTTATTCATCTCCTATTGCATGCCAGGCATACAGAAGATGTTCAATAAATAAATGGAAATTGCTAGTTGCTTCCTTTCTTTCTCACCTTTCTCCCCACACGCTTGGATCAAACTGGCCACCAGGCTTCCTGCCTCCTTGCTGTTCTTGGGCTTTCTGGACCTCACCCAGCTCCGGACTCCCTCCGGTAGCGTGTTCAGAAACTGCTCCAGCACCAGCTGCTCCATCATCTGCTCCTTGGTGTGGGTCTCCGGCTGCAGCCATTGCCGGCAGAGCTCCTGGATTTGGCTCACAGCTTGGTGAGGCCCCGTCACTGAAAGATATTGAAAATCCCTAAACTTCTGATGAGAAACTTTCAGAACCCCTGGATTTCTTATGGGGATGGTTTCTGGATTCTCTTCTTGATCATGTAGACGGAAGAGCTGAGGATTCTTCAAGATATCCAAAACGTCTGTCATGTGCAGCATCTTTACAGCTTCAGGACAAAGGTACTCAAAAAGGCAGGTTGCTCCAGAACACACTTTGTGGAAGATGATGGGCAGAGCTGTATCATATGAAAAGAAGATACGGAAACCCAGGACCTGTAGAAATTATGTAGAGAGACTTACAAACAGCCTGCACAGTTAGACCTGGACAATGGGGTGGAGGTGATTTGGAGCAAAAGTAATTACTTCATTTCACACAACTGCCTAAATACACACTCACAGAAATTTGCACATCTCCAGATAAGATGCTACTTCAGCCCCATCCCAGATCTGAAAAATGCACAGGCACAGGCTTGAAGTATTTGAAATGGCATTGTAGGGAAAAGAGACTTGAACTCTAAACACAATGAACTGAATTAATTTGACGAACCACAGAAGAATTTCACTTCAAAAAACAAATGAGTTAAAATGATTTTATATTACACAGAATAAAGAGTCTTTTATAACATATACAACCTACAAAGGACTGCATTCATATGCAAAATATTTAAAGAACTCATACAAATCAGTAAGAAAAAGGGAGATAAAATAAGAGCAAAAAAGTTGGGGCACCTGGGTGGCTCAGTCATTAGGCGTCTGCCTTTGGCTGGGGTCGTGGTCCCGGGGTCCTGGGATCGAGCCCCACATCGGGCTCCCTGCTCCGCGGGAGGCCTGCTTCTCCCTCTCCCACTCCCCCTGCTTGTGTTCCCTCTCTTGCTCTCTCTCTGTCTAATAAATAAATAAAAATCTTTAAAAAAACGCAATAAAGTTAAAAGACTTGAACAGGTATTGCACAAAACAGAGCTACATGGCCAGTAGACATGAAATGGGGCTCAACTGAATTAGTTATCAGAGAAATAGGAATTAAAACAATAACGAGCTATCACTACACATCCTCCAGAACATTCTAATTGGAAAGAATCAGACAACAGTAAGTGTTTGAGAGGAGAAAGAACCACGGTAGAATAGTACATTCATACAAGGCTTCCGCTAATTTCCTCTTCCAGCCTCAATACAGATCACACAGCCGCCTTGCAGGCAGTAGGCCAGCTTCACGGGCATGCAGCCGGGGCAGTCATACCAGGCTCCATGCTCAGAAGGGCCTCAAGCTCGGTCTAAAGCTCTGCTGTTGCTATCTTGAGATTTTTCATACTTTAAAGAAGGGCCTCACATTTCATTTTGCATTAGGCCCTGCAAATTATGTAACCAGTCTGCCCAGCAAGAATATTATCGTTCCTCAAAATCTGGTGCCAATTAAACCGACGAAAAAGATATTTTTATTCTTTAACTTTGCATTTCCTTAAATTAACAATAAAGCTTACTGTATTTCTTCAGACGCACTGGCCCTTTACAAGTTACACCTATCCTTGCCTTCTTTCCAGTAGGGTGTTTCTGCCGCTGATTGCTAAAGACTGGATATAGAGAGACGCGGGGCCTGGGGGCGGAGCCTAGGGTCGGCAGGGGTGGGGCTTGGGCTGGAGACGGGGTCTGGGGCGGGGCCTGGCATGAGGGCGGGGCCGAGGCCGGCGGCCCAGGGAGGACATTGGCCTGAAGGTTGGGAGGACAGTCAACCGAGGAGGCCGAGGAACTGAGGCGCAGACGGGCGCGGAGAGAGCGGGGGAGGCCACTCCCGCGCTGCTGTTCCTCAGCTCCCGGGTCTCCACAGACCCCACGTCCGACGCGGGCCCCTTCCCTACCCCCACGGAAGGCGCCTCCCAACCCCCACCCCAGCCTCGACCGCCGCGGCGTCGCCCCTCAAGGACGCCCCTCAAGGACGCCCGCGCCGCCGCCCTGGGCTTCTCGCGCCCTCAGGCGTGCCTGCCCCTCGCCCTCGCGTCTCCTCCGACCACGTTCGGCCCGGAATGCCCGCGCGCCCCTCATGCGCTCGCCCCCACACCCGCGCGCGCGCCTGCGCTCACCTCGCCCGCCCGGCGCCTCGCCTGACTAAACAGCTCGCGATCGGACTTCGCGCCCAAGCCGCGACGCATGCGTCCTGCCGCGCGTCTGCGCATGCGCTCTGCCGGGCTGCGCGAGCGGGCGTGTCGAAATCCCGGCCTCTCGTCGCTGGTTCCGCTGGGGGCGCTCGAGGCCGCGGCTGGACGGGGAGGAGCAGAGAGGGAAGAAGGCCCTGGCGCCGGCGTGGCCTTCCTCCCTGAGATGCTCTTATTCGCTGTTGGAAGAGTTAATACACGGTTTACATGTTGTTAAGTAAATAGTGTGCGATGAAAAGTCTTCCTCCCGCAGTGTGGGCACCACTACCAATTTTTTTTTTTAAAGATTTTATTTATTTATTTGACAGAGAGAGATCACAAGTAGACAGAGAGGCAGGGAGAGAGAGAGAGAGAGAGAGGGAAGCAGGCTCCCTGCCGAGCAGAGAGCCCGATGCGGGACTCAATCCGAGGACCCTGAGATCATGACCTGAGCCGAAGGCAGCGGCCTAACCCACTGAGCCACCCAGGCGCCCCCCACTACCAATTTTTTATGCCCATGAACTACACGGTAACCACAGCGATTAGTTTGTGTCCTTCCACGGGTTCTTCATGCGTGTATCTGCGTATATCCATGAGTAGTACACACACGTGTGCAGAGTGTACACACACGATATATTTTATACACGTATGTTCTCACACCTGTGTACATATCTCCAGTATAAATGAATCGTTTAAGATATAAAATTAATATTTTTATAAATACATGTTAAATATAATATATACATATGAAATATGATGTGTATGAAATATATAATTCTGTAATTATGCATTGTTATAATCGTAAGTTCACTATTGGACATAATTATATATTTGTATAAACGTAAGACGTAAGTTTAGGCCTGTGTGAATATTTGTATTCGCATGTCCTCCCACTTTTAGACAAAAGGTGGCACACTTTACACACTGTTCCATGTCCTGGTTTCTTTTTACTTACTTGTATACCTTGGAGAGCTTTCCATATCACTACAAGGAGAGTTTCCTCAGTTTTTGAACAGCTGTTTGGATGATCTTCTATGGAGGTGACCTCACTTATTTAATCAGTTCCTGACTGCAGGGGGCTGAATTGTGTCCAGTCCTTTTTCACTGAGTGCATACCCTTGACCATCAACAATTGTGCTGGCATGTAAATCTATAGGTGAGATAAATCCCCTGACACAGAATTGCTGAAGAAAAACACATATTGTAAGGGCCTATTTAACCAGAGCGACTCCATCTTGGTTAAAAGCCATTTTGTTGTTTGTGCAGTAAAACTTAAACTGACCCTGTCTCCCCCCCACCCCCACAGAGAAACTTACCTAGAAGCAAGTCTAGGAAACCAGTAAAATATGGTCAGCCAGTTCCTAATAACAGAGCCCAGAATACAAGGACAAGTCAGGCCAGGTGGAGACATCCAATCAGTAAAAGTACACCTACTGTCTCCCTAACCACCAAAAAATGTAAACTCCGCCTTTTGGGCGCCAAACTTCAGTGCCAGTTCTGACCAGAGTAATGGGTTAGTTCAAACAGCTACTATAGGGTAAATTGTAATTCAATTGGCCACCTGCGTGTGACCTAACATGACTATACAATGTTACAATCTCATTGGCCACCCATGTGTGGCCAGGCTTTTGCTCTGTAAAAGTTAGTCTGTGAGGCTGGGAGGGGTCGCACTCTTCGGAGGCGGCCCTGACCAGTCAGTTGATCCTTAAGCCTGTAAACTGGGGGTGGTCGCTCTCTTCAGAGATGGCCCTGGCCGATCAGCCTAATTTCTAATACTTATCATAAAATAAAGCTTTAAATAACTTTCACTTTGTCTCAGTCTCGTTTTGTTTAATAACGGACCTAACACATATGTGTCTTTTTTAGTTTCATTTCATTTCATTTCATTTTTAAGAGAAGAGAAGAGAGAGAATGGGACAGAGAGAGAACCCCAACCAGGGTCCATGCCCAACATGTGGAGCTTGATCTCACAACCCCAAGATCATGACCTGAGCCAAAATCAAGAGTTGGGTGCTTAATCAACTGAGCCACCCAGGTGCAGTAAGGCTTTATTTTTACATAATCTCTACACCCAACATGGGGTTCCAACTTACAATTCTGAGATCAAGAGTTGTGTGTCCCACCAACTGTGCTAGCCAGGTGCCCCTTGCACTTGTCTTTTTTTTTTTCCTATTTTATTGTATCTGGAGAAAATCCTAGGGAATCTACAAAATACTTTGAGGGGCGCCTGGGTGGCTCAGTGGGTTAAGCCTCTGCCTTGGGCTCAGGTCGTGATCTCGGGATCCTGGGATTGAGCCCCACATTGGGCTCTCTGCTCAGTGGAGAACCTGCTTCCCCCGCCTCTCTGCCTACTTGTGATCTCTCTGTCAAATAAATAAATAAAATCTTTAAAAAAAAAAAAAAAGGAAACCAAAATACTTTGAAAAATAATTGAGTTTTTTACTTTCTTTTTCTTTAATTTAATTTTATTTTTTCAGTGTCATTTTGATAGATATTTCTAAGTTGCCTTTCATTAACACTACTGCATCTTAGACCCCCTCCAACCTATGTGAGCATGTCTGTCCAGGGCTCTTCTCAGGTGAGAGAGGGAAGCTCTGACTGAACCAAGGCTGAGACAGAGCCCTGCCTTGCCCAGGAAGGCCAGAATGTCATGACCAGGCTGCATCTCCACAGGCCTAGAGGAACCAAGGAACTGATGAATCTAGTGATTATTTTAAATACGTCATTGACTTTGTGGATATCAGGAAACTGACACTAAAGTTTATATGAGAAGCAAAAAATCCAGAATGACCAATAAAATATTGAAAGAGAAAAACAAGGGTGCCTGGGTGGCTCAGTGGGTTCAGCATCTGCCTTCAGCTCAGGTCATGATCTTAGATCCTGGGATCAAGCTCCGCATCGGGATCCCTGCTCAGCGGGGAGCTTGTTTCTCCCCCTCCCCCTATCCCTTCTCCATTTCATGCTCTCTCTCTCTCATAAATAAATAAATAATCTTAAAAATGAAAAAAAGAAAAACAGAGTCAGAGGATTTCAGGACTTAACACTAGCCGACTTTCAAAACTTAACAGGCGAGCGCTCACTTTGGCAGCACGTATACTAAAATTGGAATGATACAGAGAAGATCAGCATAGCCCCTGTGCAAGAATGAAATGCAAATTCATGAAATGGTCCATATTTTTCAGAGGACCTCCTTCAAAAATCAATAAAAATAGGTCAATGCTTTGTGAATTATATTTCAATATGACATATCATAGTGAAACTCTCAAATGTCAGAGACAAAGAGAAAATCCTGAAAGCAGCTCAGGGATAAGAGGTCTGTATCCTACAGTGGTAGAAACATTAGATTGGCAGAAGACCTATCCACAGAGACCTGGCAGGCCAGAAAGGATAGGCACCATATATTTAGGGTGCTAAATGAGAAAAATATACAGCCAAGAATACTTATCCAGCTAGGATGTCATTCAAAATGGAAGGCAAGATGAAAAGTGTCCAGGACAAACAGAACATACAAGAATTTGTGATAACCAAACCAGCCCAAAAAGAAATATTAAATATTAAAAGGGATCCTTTAAGCAAAAAGAGAGCCCCAAAGCAACATAGACCATAAAGGAACAGAGACAATATACAGAAACAGTGACTTTACAGGTAATACAATGGCAATAAATTAATATTGTTCAATAGGAATGTAAATGGGCTCAATGCTTCAAACAAAAGACACATGGTATCAGACTGGAAAAAACAACAAAAAAACAAGACCCATCAGCATGCTGTCTGCAAGAGACTCATTTTTTTTTAAAGATTTTTATTTATTTATTTGACAGAGAGAGATCACAAGTAGGCAGAGAGGCAGGCAGAGAGAGAGGAAGGGAAACGGGCTCCCCGCTGAGCAGAGAGCCCGATGCGGGGCTCGATCCCAGGACCCCGGGATCACGACCAGAGCTGAAGGCAAAGGCTTAACCCACTGAGCCACCCAGGCGCCCCAAGAGACTCATTTTAGACCCAAAGACCCCTCCATATTGAAAGGGAGGGGGTGAAAAACTATTTACCATGTTAATGGACATCAAAAAAAAGCTGAGGTGGCAATCCTTATATCAGACAAATTAGATTTTAAACCAGAAACTGTAATAAGAGATGATGAAGAACACTATATCATAATTTAAGGTCTATTCAACAAGAAGACCTAACAACTGTGAATATTTGTACCCCTAACATGGGAGCAGACAATTACATAAGATAATAAATAACAAAATTTAAAGAAACACATTGATAATAATTCAATAATAGTAGGGGACTTTAACATCCCACTCACTGCAATTGACAGATCACCTAAGCAGAAGATCAACAAGGAAACAAGGGCTTTGAATGATGCACTGGACCAGATGGACTTTATAGATATACTCAGAACATTCCATCCCAAAGCAACAGAATACACATTCTTCAGTACTACATAGAATATTCTCCAGAATAGATTACATCCTGTGTCACTAATCAGGGCTCCACTAGTACTAAAAGGCTGGTATCATTCCCTGCATATTTTCAGACCACAATGCTTTGAAATTTGAACTCAATCACAAAAGAAATTTGGAAAGAACCCAAATACATGGAGAGTAAAGAGTATCCTACTAAAGAATGAATGGGTCAATCAGGAAATTAAAGAAGAAAAAATATTCATAGAAACAAATGAAAATGAAAACACAACTGTTTAAAATCTTTGGAATGCAGGAAACATGGTCCTAAGAGGGAAGTATATAGCAGCACAAGCCTTTCTCAAGAAACAAGAAAGGTCTCAAGCACACAATCTAACCTTACATCTAAAAGAGTTGGAGAAAGAACAGCAAATAAAGCCCATATCCAGCAGGAGAAGAGAAATGATAAGATTAGAGCAGAAATCAATAAAATAGAAACCAAAAGAACAGTAGAACAGATCAATGGAACAAGGAGCAGCTGGTTCTTTGAAAAAATTAATAAACCTGTTAAACACCTGGCCAGACTTAGCAAAAAAGGAAAGGACCCAAATAAATAAAATCATGAATGAAAGAGGAGAGATCACAACCAACACCAAAGAAATACAAACAATTATAAGAATATATTATGAGCAACTATACTCCAGCAAATTAGGCAATCTGGAAGAAATAGATGCATTCCTAGAGACGTATAAATTATGAAAACTGAAACAAGAAGAAATTGAAAACATGAGCAAAC